TTTAGAAAGGCAAGCATAATAGTAAATATTGTTTTTATGAAATATAGCATTGTTGGTTAGTTTGTAGTTATTGTTAAAAAGTTTGTATCTAATTAGAAGCTAGCATTTTGAGTAGATATGTTGGCAAGGAGTTAGTATAGAAGATAGTAGAATACTTTCAGTAATTCTTTCTAGGTTCTAAAGAAATACTTTGGTTCTTTTTGTTCATAGGGTTTGTAGGAAAAGTAATAAAGCTAGAAATAGAAGTATTGTATTCAGTATTACTTACAGAGATGAAACTAGTTAGTAGATACTACAGAAGCATTAGATGATAGCTGAGGTTTTAGAAGCAAAAAGAAAATATATAGATTTGGTATTGCTTCAAAGAGTTTTAGTAAGACAAGTAACTAATTTGCTTTTATACAGAATTTGAATAATATTTTTTAGATCTTCTTTATAAAAAGCTACTTCAAAAGTATCATTACACTTTTTGTAGAAGTTATCTAAATCAAGAGTATTAGGAACTTTACTTATTAGAGTAGGCATATTTGTAGTATTAGTTATAGATATATATTTAGATGTAGCAATATTAAAGAGAGCTTCTTGAGAAGGTATAGTTTGTATCATATAACAATAAGTAGCTTGTATAATTTGTATAACTTATGTAACTTAAATCTGTGTAGCTAGTATAGCTTGTAGCTAGTGTAGCACAAATTAGATATTGTCTATATAGTATAGAGTACAGATATATAGTACTAAGTTAAAAATAGATTAGATTATACTATATGCAATACAAATTAAAAATGAAACAAATAAGTAATTAATTAATTTGTATCAAATTAATTAGAACTCAGAAAAGAAATAATAAAATTAATATAATTTTTAGATTGACTAGTGATTTTTTGCTAAGTTGTTATATGACAAAATTCTGGATTTGAGGTAGAAAAAGGAAAAAGAAGAAAAGAAGATAAATATTAGAAAAAAGCCTTAAAGTAGTTTTCTGAGGCTAGTTTGCTAAGTTCTAGTTCATTTTGAATGAAATTTATATCAAAATGAAGCTATTACTATGCTATATACAACTCTATTAGTGAACAAGATCTGTTAGCTTAGTAAATTATTATGAAATTTCTAGAGAAACAGTTTAATAGTTGTAGTAGCATAACTTTATATATTGGAGTTTAGAAAGTATAAAACTAGACTGCTCTAGAGCAAAATTTGTGTAGAATAATTTTGCTTAGTAGCCTAAAGATTGTTTACTTAATAAAATATTTAGTTATAACAAAATGTTTTTGAGAAGTTTTGGTACAAGTAATCTACAGTAAGAGTTTCTACTTTTTTCATTCACTATTTTTTTTATTATAATAAATTTGTTTTATTATTTTATATCAAAACTTAGAACATTTAAATAAGTAGTTAAAAAGATAATTTTATATTATTAATATAAAGAAAAATATTTTTTTATTATCTACTTTACTTAAAAAAAGTTAATACAATCTGTATATATAATATATAAAATTTTATATCTCTGAGATTTATTAGATATTATAGATGCAAAAAATATTTGTTGAGTACTACACAGATTAAAATTTTTATTTTTTTAAAATTAATTAGTTATTATTATTCTAAATATACAACAACCTATTATCTAGCAGATAGTAGACTAATTTATAATAAATTAAAAATAATATTTTAAAAATAAGTTAATACTGTATATTAACTAAATATTAGCATCTATTTATAACTAATATTTTTGATATATTTTTTTAAATACTTATCTATTAATATCTATTAGTATCTAATATTAAGCTAATATTTTTTTAAAAATCTTAGCTTAATATCAGATACTAATAAATACTAATAAGTGAGTATTTAAAAAAATATATTAAAAGATTTATTATAAATAAGTAACTAATATTTAGTTAATATATTATATCTACTTATTTTCAAAATATTGCTTTTAATTTATTGTATATTAGTCTATATCTACTTGATAATAAATTGTTGTATATTTAGCTAATATAAGAATAATAATAACTGATTAATTTTAAAAAAAAATAAAAATTTTAATTTATGCTATATATTTATAAAACAATATTATAAAATATATCATTACTAAGAAAGATAACTTATATTTAACTAATTATATTATTATATAAATTTAAATAAAAATTATAATTAGTTAAATAGTTATTAAAATATCTTTAAATTTTTTTTCTTTAAGTAATCTTGTCTTTTATTTATTAAAATAAAATATATAAAAGAGTTTAGTAACCTAGTATAGTAGTTAGATTATTAAACTATTATAGAGTTCAAATCTTACTGTTGATGAATTTGAATAATTTCTCAAACCTTGTAATATGTTACAGTAAACTCTGTTTGTTTCTGAGAATATATAACTATAAATTAAGTTATATCAAATTAATTAAAACTTGAAATTATAATATAATATTATACAAATAAATCTTGATAGAATATATAGGTAAGGAATCTATATAGTAGAAATTCTAAGTTAGTGAAGTGGTATAGCCTTCTGATAGAACTATATTAGTTAAAGTTTGATTCAGAAAAAAAACTTAGTCTAATAAAAATAAAAAGTTTTGAGGTTTTTAAACAAAGAGTAACTAGGACTAGCTAGATATTAGAAAAAGACTAGATTAACTAACTAGTGAAAAATTATAATAGAACCTGAAGTTGTATAAATATCTACAAAAGTCTAAGCTAGGTGAATTTGTAAAATGAGTACAGACTACTCTAGTAGGTTTGTTTCAAGATTAATTAACTTTGCAATACCAACAATGCATTAGATATAATATATTCTAAGATAATCTAAGCTATTCTAAATAAATAAATCTATAATGAGCTAGCTAACTTAAGTAGTTAGATGTTGTAGTGATAATAGATTAAATCTGTATAGGTTAATAAACAGAGTATTTAAATAGGTAACTCATAAGTAAGTTACAGATATAGCAGCATAGTGTAAAACTAATTAGATAGTCTAATGCCTATGCAGTCAACTACTTAAAATAGATAATAACTAAAGTTGTTTATATAGCTTGTTATATATTCTTTATGTAATGACAAACAGTAAAAATTATCAATATATAATCTTATTTGCAATACTAATAAAATTCTTTTAACAATGTAAGCTATCTTTAACAACAAAAAAAAAATATATATATATATATAAATAAAATGTTATAACAAAATAATATAAACTAGACTAAACTACTTATATAACTACTCTTTTTATTTAATTCTAAACTTACTTAGCTACCTAAAGTACTCGAATACAATCTGCTACAATAATAATTTTTTTTACTAAAAGAGTAACTTGCTTATTTAAAGATATACTCTAATTATTAACAGAAGGCTATTATGTGTCTATAAGATATCTTTAATTAAAGTTAGAAAATTAGTACTAAAACTTAATAAAAACTTAAAAATAACCAAATTTTGCTTAATATTTAAATTTTTATAATATAACTTTTTGTACTTATTTAATTAGCAAAGTATACTAATTTTGTTCACAAAAGGTTTAAGATATTGTAAAACTTACGTATTTAAAATTTTAATATATATATTTTTTTATATTGTTGTTAATTAGATAATTAAATATAATAAAATATAAAACCATAAAAGAATATTTTGCATTGTAAGCTTTTTTCATAAATTTATAATAATTTAGAAAAATAAAAAGTATATAATCAATAAATTAAAAAAATATATATATATATATATTATATATAAAATACTATAATATTATTTTTGTTAATAGAATCGGTTTTTTTTTATAAGCTTAAATTGATTAACTAATTTTTTCATTGTAATTGGAGTATAAAGAATTGAAGTTGCACCACCAACTTTTTCAATTAATTTTTTTGCCAACTCATTTCCTTTATCATTCGGAAATACTATAAAGATTATTACTAAATTAGTGCTATTAATTTCCAATCTTCTTAATTCTAAAGCTGCATTCAAGACTTCTTCTTCATTATATTTATAAAGACCAATAAATGCTATATCATAAGCAAATCTATTATGTAATTGTTTATATATTTTTATAGCATCAAAACATTTGTCAAAGGTATCGAATTTATCAATTTTTTTGATCATTTTAAGATATTTTAGCATTACATTGCTAATATCTTCAATTGGGTGAATTATTGATATTCTTATAAAATTATTTATTTGATCATCAAATTTTATCGATCGTATTATTGATAATGTCTCAATATTCCATGTAAACCAAAATTTACTTCCTTTTCCCAATTGACTATCAACATTAATTTCTCCTCCATTAATTTCTACTAAACTTTTACAAATTGAAAGTCCAAGTCCTGTACCATCATGCTTCCTAGTTACAGACATGTCACCTAATGAAAAGCTTTTCCACGCATCTTGTATAAATTTTGGTGACATACTAATATTATACAAATTATTAGTAAAATATAATAAAATATAATTAAAGTAATATATATAATTTTAAATAAATTCGGTGACTTACCCAATTCCAGTATCAAATAATTCAATTAATAAATTTTCTTTTATAAACATTTTGCCATAAGTTGGATCCCGAGTTTGCGATGATATTTTCAGTATGATTTTACCAACATTGGTAAATTTAACTCTAAAAAAAAAATTTAAAAATAAATTATTATACAATACAATAATAGGTTTTTAAAAAAAAAATTATAATATTTACGAGTTTGATAAGAGATGAGATAAAACTTGTTTTAACCTATTTAATGAAATTAAGGCTATAAATTCTTAAAATTTACGTTTTAAAATAAAATAAAAAAAAAATGTTAATTCAATCACCTTTCAGGATCACTCTTAATATATCTTGGTAAATTATTAATATCATAATTTACAATTAGATCAAGATTTTTATCCGCAGCTTTTTTTCCAAATTCATCAATTGTGTGCTCAAATAATTCTATTAAATTAAATGTTCTATTCTTTAGAGTGACTTTATGTGCTTCTAATTTTGCTGCATCTAGAATATCATTTACTATGGATAATATTGTATCAGAAGCGCATTCCGTGATTTTAATCATGTCTTTTTGACTAACTGATAAGTTAGTACACTCAAAGAAAGAAAGAATACCCACTATTGAACCTAGTGGGGTACGTAATTCTATGATAAGAATGAAATCGATTAGCAAGATTAAAAAAAAAAAAAAAAAGGCTAATAGTGATACACAAAAATAATAACATACCATGAGAAGTATTTGCTAATATTTGACTCTTAACATTATTTGCAATTTTAGCAGCTTTTATTTGAATTTCTTTTTCATCATTCTCTTTATTTAATTTTGCATAAGTGATAGCTAAACCTATTTGATTTGATATTTCTTGTAAAAATTCTATTTCAGAATCAAGCCAAATAGAATTTGGAGATCTATGTAATTTTATCCATCCCGAAAAATCTTTATTTGATTTTATTTCTATAGCTAATTCAGATATATTTTTATTAATATCATTATTATATATATCATAAGAAATTTTTGTTTTTGTATTTTCTTGTAATTCGGTGGATATTTGAGATTTACTTTTATTATTAAATCTAATGTCTGCGAACGGATTAATAATCGGTGTTATATTTTCAGAATCATCATATAATACAACTATATTATTATTCATAGATTCTGATTTTTCATTAGAAATAATAAATATTCTATCACATTGTACTCTTTGACGGATTTCTTTAATAACATATTGTAATGTTTCATTTAAATTTAATTTTGAATGAATTTTGTTCGTTAATGAAAGTATTAATTGTTTTGTTATTTCTTGTTCATATCTTTGAAATAATATTTTACGACGAGTAAATGAGAGTTCAATATTAGTACGAATACGGGTAATTAATTCTAGAGCAGAAAATGGTTTTGTTAAATAATCATCTGCTCCTTTATCCAGACCTAAAATAATATATATTAAAAAAAAAAAAATTTTTTTTTTTAATTAAATAAAATGGTCTATTGATTACAGTATTTAACAATTTAAATTACCTCGGACTTTGGAATCTTCGCAAGCTTTTGCGGATAATAATATTATGGGAATTAATTGAGTTTTTTTATCTGATCTCAACTTATCTAATAACTCATATCCATTCATATTTGGCATCATGATATCTATTAATATTTAAATTATATGTTTTAATAATTATTATGTGTAATAACTGAGTTGTTGAATTACTTGCCGCTAAGGATTAAATCAGGTAATTTCTTTAATTTTTTTAAGATTTGTAAAGCATCTTGACCATCACAAGCACGATATAAATCAAATTCTGTTAAGAGTACTGATAGGTAATCTCTGTAAAAAATTAATAATAAAAACGATTACAAAAATGTCTTATTTAATCGAATATAAAAATGTCTAATTTAATTGAATAAAGAAAAATAATATTACCGCATATCATTACTATCATCAACAAGTAAGATTTGATATTTTTCGTTAACAATTTGACAATTATCCACTAACATTTTATTATCATCAATGTTATTATTATCGAATAATACTTGATTAATTGTAACATCTATAACTTCAGATGTATTATTTTTTTTCCATTGGGAACTTTCTTCTAAATAAAGCTGTCGATTACTGTATGATTCCTGATCCCGATTTATTGGATTCTCAAGTTTATTGAAGTATATTTGATTTTTTGGCAAGTGCTCACATCCTAATGGAAACCAACATTTAAACGTTGTTCCCTGATTTACTTTTGAAGTTACAGTAATTTCACCACCATGACGTGCAATAAGTTCTTTAACGAGGGCAAGCCCTATTCCGGTACCTTCATGACTACGTGAACCTTGAAATTCTACACGATAAAAACGCTGAAATATATTTGGAAGGGCGGTTTCCGGAATACCAACACCTAGGTTATCAAAATATACAATTTGAATACAAAAATAATATGCATATATTCCATATTAAAAAAGTTTTTAGTTATTAACCTGTATCTGAAACTTCAAGAACTACCATCTTTTTATCGTTTCTGTATTCAAGATTTAAACGAATGGTTATACGTCCATTCCAAGTATGCTTTAATGCATTTGAACCTTTATCAAACAATAATTAAGCAATTATTTTAAAATAAAATTTTGATTAATGACTTTTGAAAAAAAAATTTTTTAACATATTTTAAAAAGTATATATTATTAGAAAACAAGCTTACATAAATTATATATAATTGTTTCGTACATATCATGATCCAAGTAAATCTTATTGTTCACTTCTTGGTTAAATTCATCTGGATATGGAATTTCAATATCATAGTTCAAACCTAATGTTTTTGCTAAATTTTTAAAATCGGAAGCTAATTCTAAAGTGAGTTCAATTATGTTCGTCTCACGATAATATGGATTTAATTGGTCAGCTTCTATATTTGAAAACTATATAGGAAATGAATAATTTTAATATAATAGTTCTGGAAATTAAATTTGATTTTATTATTAAAGATTGTAATATAACTTACTTGTAATAAAATGTTAATTAATTTAAGTAATCGACGAGCGTTACGTCGTATTGTTTGAAGATATGACATTATTTGCGCTTCTTGAGGACATTCATTAATAACGTCGTCAAGTGGTGAAAGCATCAAAGTTAATGGTGCTTTATGATAAATAATAATAATAATAATAATAATAATAATAATAATAATAATAATAATAATAATAAATTTTAAAATTTAAAATGAAAAATTTTAAAATTAAAATGAAATTTATTATAAATAAATACTTTTAAGTTCGTGGCTAATGCCTTGAAAAAAAAATGACTTTTTGATAATTCAAATCAGCCAATATTTTAGCTCGTTTCTTTTCCTCTTCTAATGTATTCCCATATAGTAAAAATGCATTCATTTGACCAGTAACTAGCTAAATAATCATAAAAAAAATTTAAGTAAATTTATAATAAATATAACTAACATAACAAAATATTGATCATATGAACTTAATGCATACTTGCAAAAACTCCATATAAGGCTCATCAAGTGTACGAAGTCGATTAATGCCATAGATCAATATAATTGATAAAACTTGCCCTTCGGAAGAAGAAATTTTCGTTGGAACTAGCACAGCTTGAGATTCGTCTTTTAAAAGAACTTTTATATTATTTCCTTCCTTCATTACAAGATGTATTGGCCAAGAATTACATTTTAAAAATGAATAAGTTGCAGCTTCACGTTTTAGTTCTATGTATGAATCACAGCTATTATTAACATCATTATCTAAGTAAATTATTTTGGGAGCGTCTGGTAAATAATCTGGTATAGAACTGTCTTCAAATGTAGTAGCGATTAGACGAGCAATCAGAGATTCAGAACCAGAACCAGCATTTAATTTATGATTGACAAAGTAAATTAGTGCATATGGAATATCAGTATTACTACTTAATGCTTTTGTCATAATACGGCAGGCACTTTCTAAGGACTCAATTTCTTTAATAAATATTAATAGAAAACAAGCAAATTAATAAATAAAATTCCACAATGATAATTAATTATACATTATAATTATGAATACTAACCAGACACTTGACGACCAACTTTACCAAGTAATTTTAATCTTCGAGTATCTAAAACTCTTTGTGTAGTTTCTTCTGCTGGGGAAAATATAGCATAGACTGTGCCGTCTGATTTGTAAATTGGACTAAATGTATAGTTTAAGTAGGCCTCTTCCGTATATCCATCACGGTTTAGTTCAAAGTATCCATCCTTTTGGAAGATACCTTTACGCGTTTTTCTTATTCTATATATAACGAATTAGAAGTAATTCAAGAAAAGTTTTAAAATATAAAAAATTTACAAATGAAAATTTTCTTACTCTTCAAATTGAGAAATAAGTATATCATATATTTCAGGCAAAACCTCTTTTAATGGTTTGCCTAATGCTATTTAATATTAAAAAAATAAGGATGTTAAATTAGCAATGTTTATTATAAATTATAATGTTAAAATTATATAAACTAACCGTTCGGATGTTTTGATTTTATTATTGGTATCCAAGCTAGATAAGAAAATAGGTTATATTTAAACCTAATCAAATTTACCAAGTAAATGAATTCTAAATTGATTACCTTCGTTGTATAGTACAATCCAATCGGGAGGACCGATATAGAGACCGATGGGAAACACAGATTTTAGGCACAAATTCTAATATTAACAAACAATTTTTACGAATTATGTTGAATGTTCACAAATTTTTTTTTAAAAAAAAATAAAATTACCGTAGCTGTTTTGAGTGCAGGTTCCCATGAATCCATAGGGCCAAGCAAGGTTGAAGACCAGTCATAATTATAGACCATGTTGATAAGGGAAGTTTTTTCATTTTCGATATTATTACCACTGTGGGTCAAGGATAGAGACATATTGATTGAAATAAATTTCAAGAAAATATTGGTTCAACAAACTTTTTTAAATAAAGTAAAGCGAAAGATTTTATAATTTCTTTGCACATATATACGTTAAGATTATTTCAGTCCAAATATTAGACTTCTACTTTATTATTGTTATGTATTATAATATATGTACTTGTACCACAAATGTGATATCTTGTATTAAAGGTTTGCATTAGAATTTGCGCATACAAATTATTTGTAATCATCAAGGTTGCTTTAAATTTTTGTCGAATTCTCTTTATACTTTCAAATTTTGTAAATTAAATTCAAAAATATAATTTTAATAACGCTTTTTACTATGATTATTGAAAAAAATCACTACCTAGATTATTTGGTTACGTATCCTGCTACTCTGCTACATAATAGCAATGCCTGCCAGGATATATTCATTTCTATTTGAACTAATCAGAAATCATGATAAATTCATAACAAAAATTTCATAACAGGAATTAGTAGAACAGGGGAATATGTACATATGTGTATTACATATAAGATATGCTTTATTAATCCCTGTGCGTTGAGAAACCTAATTTTTATCAAAGTTTCTGATTGGAAATATATAAATACTATCTCTTATTGGATAAAATAGATAACGCCATTATTTTTCGAGCAATAAAGATTTTGTATACGTAACGGAAAAAATTTTTTTAATAATTGGAAATAATTACTACGTACTGTACTAACCTAACAATGTTTTAATATGCAGTATTTAATTATTTTTAAACTCTAAAAAAATTTTCGCTAACCAATTAAAATTCGAGATAATCAAATTCATTCTTAACTCGAAAGTTTGCATATGAAACTACTTTCTACGCATTAATTAAAAGTTTTTCCTCACAAAATTTTAATATTAGTACACTTATAACAACGGCAAACATTTAACTTTAGAGAATTTTTTTTAGGTTGGTTTTTATTAATCTTATGAATAACTGTACGTATATCTGCATATTGGTTGTTGAGTAATTGGTTAACACAATTTTATAGTAAATTTTAATTGCTTGGCAATATACATACGTATAGTTTCTCATATACTATGAAATCTTAATATATCTAGATACAAACCTTCAGGTTATTTCATAAATTTTATTTTTTAAGAATTAACTCAGATTAACCCAAGGGCTACAGATACGTTATATAAATACTGGTGCTGTTACGTAGTAAAATAAAAAAGACAATAATTTTTACTTATCAGTAAATAAGGTTTTTCTTTTTTTTTGTTATTAATATTGACTGATCAACAATAACCAGAATCATCAAATCTCTGGATCTACCGGTATTTTGATGCCATGCACCGGTAAAATTACAAAAACCTATTTTAAACATTGATCGCTAAAACCAGAAATTAAAGTTTCCTGCATAGAACTTTTAGCGTTTGATTAATAGTTCTCTCAACTATACAGTAACATTGAAAACATTGAATAGGCGCAGTCAGCTGATTTTACGTCAATCATGTGATTACACAACGGCCTAGACCCAAAAAATCACAATGCAAATTTTAAAAGAACGGATTCTTAACTTACTTTTGAACTTACGTATAATTAAATACATAAAAAAATAATGTTATCTACTACTTAAATTATAAGTTTAAAAGGACGTTTTCTTAAAAAAAAATTGCTTTCGAAAATTCCGCTTTAGTAAAACTTTTTTTTTTAAAGGATATAAAATTTTAAATTCGGACTTTCCAAATATTTTATATTTACTGTAATACGGTTTAAACAAAATATTTTTTGTACTTTTTATCGTTAATAGTATTAAAAATCTCCGGTATAAATTTACCATAATCATCAAATTATCATTTATCATGTAGGAGAGTGGGGTAACGTTACTACTACGTATTTATAAGAAATCAGATGATAAATCACTTCTTTAACGTTATGCATAAATTTTTCATTCTTAGAAAATATTAATAGCAGTAAAATCAATTATGTGAAAGAAATTAATAATTTGTTTGGTTGATTATCGTATGACTTTTGACCAGTCAAAATTAATATGGCATGATTTATTTTAGTGATGTAACTTGGGTCATCTGCGAGTCAATCTAGTCCACTTAACCGCCAACTCGAGAACCGCTATTTACTTTATCAAATGAAATGCGTAGAATTTATTTTATAAAAATATGAATTCCAACCCAACTTAACTAATGAAAATTTAGGATTACAGTTATTTTCATTATTACTGATTAAAAATTAGCCGAGTAATTTACTATCCGATTCGATAAGATTTTGGATATTCTTGTGCATAGTATACTACACATCATTATATTGTCAACATTAAGTCTTGTCTAGTACGTTTGATATGTTTAATTTGTATGAAAACTTATACGTAGCAAAAACTGTTCTTTATCAACCAATCATCAACAACAATAATAAAAAAAAAAACATAAAAATTCAGAATATACATAGTATAAGATACAATAGTCTTTATATTCTTTATATTTAATACATTGCACAAATAAGTGATAATAAAAAAAAAAGGTCGATCTAATCAAATTTTATTGACTTTTTAAAATAAGGCCTCAAATTTATATAATTGATTTTCATATTGTCGGAGGCTATCAACTCTACCTCCAACTAAAAGAAATAGCGCGACAGCGTCGCTAAGAAATCCAAGACGCAGCGT